ATCTTAATATGGCCATTGGTTAGCAGTGGTAAGAGGCAATAGGAGAATTTAAATTTTGTATGAGGCCAAATTTATACATGTGTATCAGTAATATTTTCTAGATACATCTTACTCATAATAAAGAGCCTATGGAGACAGCCAGCGAAAAATATTTGTTTGTCTTCTTCAGATTTGGGTTTTGATATTTTGTAGTTACCACCCAACGTCAAACACCACTTTAGTCAGTGTGAATTTTGTTTGCAGGACCACATCTAGCAGGTGACCCTGTGAGAATATGGCAAAGGGTGCTAACTATAATGAGTAAAAGTTTACAGATTTCATACATGTACTCAGAAATCGTAATAAACAATGCCATTCTGGTGAAAGCATCTAAGGGGAATTAGAGCACAAAGTAGACATGAAAAAGTTTTGGATAACAACTTACGTTAAATATCAAAATTTTTAAAAATGCATTTAACAGTTCTGCATCGTAAAATAGAGGTGAATATACTTTTGTTCAAATACTATACCATGTCATACAGCTTATGTTCTAAAGTATCCTCAACATTTTAATTGTTATTATTAATTTAAATAGCATTAAATAGCATCTGCCTAACTATTTAATTTTAAATCCTTATTACCAAATTGAAAATACTATTGTATGCATAAAATTTATAGTGTATGGATTATGAAATAATAGGAAAAAAACACGTCAGTAAACACCGAGATCTTATATTAACAGAAAAATCACATTGCTCTAAATGCATTAGTATTATTAATGCAACCTTTATTTTGGGTGCATTTATACTAGTATAAGTACATCTGTTTGAGTAGATTTTATATCTGTGTAAGTGTATCTAAACAGGATATTCTACTGTTATGATTACAGTTGTAAAAAATAGAGATTCTAAACCCTAATTATATTGTTTTGAACAACTGGAATGTGTGCTCTGAAGTGGAGTTTTATTTATCTGAATGTTCATGAACATGAAATTTTAATATTATACTTTATGGCAGTTGTTAGGGGGAACAGTATATGCATTTCTGTGCCTTTTAATACATGAGAAATAACCATATTTTTAATTTTGCATTCAGTTAAAAATTGTCTTATTTTTCAGGAGCTGGCGATTTCTGAGCACAGATCTGAAACATCCCTGTGAAAACACTAGAGAAAAATTAATTGTGTGTTTGTTGGTGATGGAAAATGCTGGTTTAGGACTAAATTTTTAGAAGAGCACAGAGTCTATCATCCTGTTTCCCTACCACCCTGCCAAAGCACTCTGAAATCTTTTTAGTGGCTTGGCACTTAAGAAAATGTGGATTCTGGATGCCTCAAAGCAAATGTCCCAAACTGCTGCTTTTGGAAACACAGGTCTTAGGCACGCATAAAATATTGCTTTCCTTGATGCCTGTGTTCACTGTGGGGTTTACATGACAGTGAAGCCAATCAATTTTCTGGGAACATAGTAGAAGTTTTTTTGTAAGATTATATCAAATGGTCTGTGGAAGTTAGGTGGGGAGAGAGGAACCAATCTCCTCATGGAGAGTTCAATGTCTCCCTTGCTCAGCAGTATATGTAAACTGGTTTATGTCCACAGATTAAATTAAAAATAATGCATTGAGACCGCAGCATGACAATTTCTGGTCCTGGTTCAGAGGGTATCTCACTATTTATACTGGCCATATGTGTGACCTGGCCAAGTGTCTGGACTCCCAGCAGTGTTAATCTGGTGGTTGGTTATGGCCCAGAGTTAAATGTTTACTGAATGCACGTGAAAACTACATACTAGGAAGCTGTCTGCCTCATTCAAAACCTGCCTGGACGTGTTCCTGTGTGACCTAGTCTAGGTGATCCTGCTCTGGCAGGGTGGTTTGACTAGGTGATCTTTCGAGGTCCCTTCCAACTCCTAATATTCTGTGATTCTGTGATATTGTGAACTTAAAGGCTGTGTCTTGAATCCTCACACATTTTCTTACCAGTTCCATCTGTTTTGTCTTTGATCCAAACTCCTCTATGCTTCCGTATCCACCTTGTCATGACGCCTTTGGGAAACACTTTGGCAGGCCTTCATTACTCTGTACCTTCCTGTCATTATGGAAATCAACCATCTACCTATGGGGTGATGGCAGGTAAGAGACATACCCTCAACTGGGTGAGCTATTAGCATGTTGGTTTTGGTCAGTTTTCCTTCAAAGGGACTGATTCAAAACAATTGCCTAGGGAAAACAGGTCTGGGATTAAGGCACTAGAAAAGAGGTTAGGAAATTAGAGGTTAGTGCCCAGAGTTTCCCCAAACTTCTCCATCTCTCAGGAAATCACTCTGTATCTTATTTCTCTCTAGAAGACTGCGACCGTACTGCTCTTTTTGCTCACCTATGTCCAGTTCACCTGGTGATCATGACTCTTTGAGGAACCAGAAATTATATAGCTGATATACTTCTATATTACCAGTGTGTGGGGTGATGGAGCCCTGACTGGAGCTATAAAATAAAACGGTGGCAAAATGGAGGGATAGCTGAATTCAGCAGGCAGATCATACAGATGTTCATGGATATTTACACTCATAAATGTATGCTAGCATTCTGCTCGGTTTTCCATGTTCCAGGCTGAGTAAGAAAGAGAAACTGTTACCCCAAGTACATCCACATACTAGTCAATGAGATAATGCTATGAACCAAATTAACACATCTCCCAGGAAATAATTGTGACACACAGCTAATCCAAAACCAAACGCAGCATTTTATTCCACTTAAGAATGAAGGAAACATTAGGGTAAGTTAGCATAGATTAATACATGTGCATAGGGACTTTTTAGGGACAGAAAGTAGGATCTGTGGTGTGTAAATGATTCAAATGATGGTCCAAATGCTTGTATTTCATTGTGTATTTGTGTGTCTGTTGCAAAAACTCCTGGCATTTTTCAGGTCCCTGGGAAAAGCTAATAGGTATTAAACAAGTATTGCTCAGAAGTTCATTTGCTTTCATTTCAAAATAAATACTTATTCATTTTTCTCATTTTGTTTTGGTTTTGGTTTTGTTTTTTTTTTCCCCCTTACTTTTTTTTTTAGGTGTTAAGCCTGCAACTCCAGAGATGCTATCAGCAAGTCTCTCCCAGAGTCGCATCTTACAGACATGCAGCATGCCACATCCCAATGTGGTAAATGGTGTCAGCACCTTGCAAAGCAAGTCCTTCTCTTTTTTAGTCTTTTCCTTTATTCTTTGTGAAAATACTTTTTTGGGGGGGGGGTCATCCTGCGTGAAACATATAAAATATCCCTGTGGTGTTAGAACCTCCAACACTGATGAGTGCAATTGGGGCAGCAAAGACAAGAAATGTAAATGGAGGAAGGGGTGGGAGGTTAATGAAGTTCTGCATTCTACTACATAGTTTTGTGTAATTTAGAAAATTGGGAAGGATGTCGTGAGAACCTGGAATTTATGGGCTTCTCCAGATACACTGAACGAAGTGTGTTAATATTTCTCCAATGATTTTTTTCCCCCTTCAGGTCATACATTCTAGGTCTATGTATGATATCTAGTGAAAAAACAGCCTTCACTTGTAACTGAGTCTCTGTGTTAAGTCTGATATTTGTGATCAAAGGTAGCATGAGACTGTTTTTTCTCCTCGAGCAATTTCTTTTTAAGCTAGAACGGTCATTCTGAATGTGTTCTGTTGGGTTGTTTGTTGCATTTTTTTTTTCTTCTTTGAGCTCTTCTTTCCTGTGTATTTTCCTCAAACAATTTTTATGCTAAAGTTAAACCAAGATAGTATCTTGTTAGAGCATCAAATGGTGTTTACATGGAAATATTAATTGTACCAGAAAATAGAGACTGGCACATTTTAGGTGACTCAAAATTACATAAATTCATCGGTCTTGTGTTACTTAATTCCAGCTGAGGCCTTGGATCATTATTTGTTTGAGTTGAGATCGTTTACCATCTTATTTAAGTGCATCAGTTTGCTATGCAATAGGATGGCTATGGCCTATGAAAGTGAGTGTTGGTTAGTTTTTATGTAAGGTGACAGGAGAGAGACTGTATCTCCTAGGAGGTCCTCACTCTTGGATACTTTTACATGTGTTACATAGAAAATATTACAGACATGGTTTCTGAGATAATGAAGGCATGTTTTTGTTGTGTAGCAGTAAAGAACAACTTCTCTGCCTTTTCTTTTTGGTGTTGCTCAGGTAGCCTTACCCCTTGTCTTTATAAATTCCCGGAGCACACCCTGAGTGCCAGCTCCTGTGCCCTGGGCCATGGCTTCACACCCATGCACCAGTCCCTCCTCGCAGATGATCCCACCACTGCAGACTTCAAGCAGGAGTTCCGCAGGAAAAGCAAGTCTGTTGAAGAGCCTGTCGACATGGACTCCCCTGAAATCAGGGAACTGGAGAAGTTTGCTAACGAATTTAAGCTGCGGAGAATTAAGCTGGGTATGTGCTTTATGTCCATGAACAAAAGACTGAAAAATTTCAATGCAAGCCCAGTTATTTCTGAGTGTTTTACAGTCCAGTCTATGCAGTTATCTAATTATAAATCTATTCCTGTTGTGCTGCCAAATTTTCTCCATTCCTAGAAGAATTGCACAGAATTAATGAACTCCAGCTTTTTGCAACTTAGTATGCAGAAAGTGACTTTGAATTTTCCTGCCCTTAAATTATTTGTCTTAAGTGCAAAGAAAATTTTGGTATTAATTAAATTACATTCAGCAGCAGGTGTGTTATTTTTCACAGCCCTAAACTTTCTGCAACTTAAGGCAGCACATGCTCTCACCTCTTATGTCCATGCTTTTCTACATGAAGTGCTCCATCTCACAAGGTGGTGCAATGTCACTTTAGTATACAAGATGGGTGACATCCATGACAAATATTTCATACCAGTGGGAAGCTTCTCTTCCTGTTTTATTTTATTGTGCCAAGACACAGGTACAGCAGCAACAGGTATCTTTGTTGCTGTCTGATAACTACTGGGGCTGGTGCAAGATGGATTTCATTAGAGAGTCTCTGTTGAGCTGCTTTTCCTTTACTGGGCAGTCTTAGCTGAAGACAAAACTGAACTGAGCCCTGCCTTTCTCATCTGTATGGAATTTCCTCTTTTTACAGAAGGATTGAGGTACATTGCAAAGTAAAAGCCTGTCTCATCCTTGTTTGAACTGTACTAAAAAAATCCCAAACATCTGGTACCGCAGATTCATCCCACTTATGAACATTGGGTTCTCCAAGTGAAAAGTTGCAATTTTGATGTTATTGCTCGTAACATTACAATGTATCATTACAAAATGATCCTACAAAAATCTATCTTTATAAATGTAAAAAGAATTATAAGGTTATTACAGGTATCTATGCATTACCTCAACAGCCAGAAAAATAGTGTGTTCCATTTGCAGTGTAAAAATTAGGACTGAAACAAAAATCTAAGGTTTAAAATAGCATTTGTAACTTGGTCAGTTTTGCGGTATGTTGTGTATATAACGCCAGCCAGAGAAATAGAAGGGTTTGCTAGGGCCCAAGCTGTTAATCACTGTAATTATCTCTGTATCTTCATCCTAAATTTGTGAGGGAATAAAACTTCCTCTGACGTAAAACAAATGGCACAGAGCCTGTAAGACTGGGCTAAATGCTCTGACAGGAAAAATGCAATTTTCACAGGAAAACTGAGGTTGAGCTTTACAAGGGGAGACAGAGTTAATCTGGGCTGTGGGTCTGAGACTGAGACACACAGAGTTAGTGCAATCAAAATGGTGGTAAAAAGCTGCCTTGTGAGACATCCAGCATTTAAAGTGATCGTACCCATTCTGGCACATGATGAGCCAGACCCCTGCATGTGGCAGATACACATTCACAGCACCGAACAGGGAGCTGGTGTTACAAAGACAGTGTCTGTGTGGAAACTGCAGCATTTCTCTGATCACTTCAACTTAGTTGTTGCAACAAGTAACAAGAGACCAGCAGTGCCACCAGGGATTAAGTTCTTGCCATTGCACCACCTATAGAAAGTAAGTTATGGAGTCTGGATCCTTCTCAAATCCATAATCTTAGAGTGTAAAGTTCTACTGAAACCAACAGGAGACTGAACTTATCTCTGAGGTGAGCTCAGAGTCAGCCACAGAGACCCCTGCAGAAAGCCCATCCTGAAGACACTGCAGACACTCACTGCTCATAAGAGTCTGCAGTGAAGGGATAAGCATCTCAAAGAAAGTAACCCTGTCTTGAAAGCTCCAGAGTGATTTTTTCCTTCTTTGTTTTTGACAGGTTATACACAAACCAATGTTGGAGAAGCACTGGCTGCTGTGCATGGCTCTGAATTCAGCCAAACTACTATTTGCCGGTTTGAAAACTTGCAGCTGAGTTTCAAGAATGCATGCAAACTGAAATCGATACTGTCCAAGTGGCTGGAGGAAGCAGAACAAGTAGGAGGTAGAGAATCAAAATCCTCTAAATATTGATTTGCATTTAAACCAGAATCCTAAATATATATGTGTCGAAGGACTAGTATGTGTCTTCCATTAACTAAAGTTTTTGTTTCATCAGCTTTAAATACTAAGGTGTGGTTATATTAAATTTTGATTATCTTTTTTTGGGGGTGAGTAAGGAGGAGCAAACTGAAATGCATGAAGGGTACAGAATAACAGAAATATCACTTGGCCTACTCAAAGTAATTTTTTTCAGTCCCATCCCAGCAAATCATCTCCACTCCTGTAGCATTGGTCAGAGCTGTTATTAGGATCTGCACGTCAGTCCATCTAGCAGCACACAATAATTCTTCACTAGCAAAAGACTCTTTCTTCCAAACTCTGGTATATGAGATGTGGCCATGGGGGAAAGGATGTGAGTTCAGCGGAGGCAGTGGTCTTTAAACCCTAAAGTAGAATAGCATGACAGATGCTGTTTGTGATGAAGCATTTGCTGCCAAGGGAGTCTCTTCCTTTTGCCTGATTACTTTCCAGTTGCAGGAAAAGTCATGGGTTCCCTGGGAAAAGTGTACTTTAGAGCAGGTTGGCTAATTTAAAGGAAATGGGTTGTTTTAAAGAACCCCCTTTTCAGCTGGATGAATGGCCATGCTGGGAAGCAGCATGCCTGGAGGTGTCAGCAAAAGCCAGGACTACCACTGTGTAGCACACACCTAGCATGGAAAGAAAGAAAGAGAAGATGGACTTAATAATACTTTTTGGATTTGCCATTGTATTCAACAGCAGGAAATGCTGTTAAACAGCTGCTTCTCTCACACACTTCAGTTTCCTTTGAAGCAAATGTAGAAGGCTTCCTTCCCCTGTAACTGCACTAGAAACCAGAGACTTTCCTAATGTGCTTGGCACATTGCAAGATTTGCTTGTGAGGGGTTTGGGGTGGGTAGCAGCTGCTGACTGTGGAAGCAGCATTAAAGTCTTCAGCTGCAGGGTAAGATCATGCATGCAGGCAGCAGCCTCTGAGATGTGAAGGGGGACTTGTCCATCAGAAGGCGGGGTGGAAGAGGCAGATGAATAAATGGGGCTGCATTTCTGAAGAAAGAGAGTGAGCCAAGGGCTATGGAAATGGAGTCCATCTGCCTAGACTGCACACCCTGCAGGGTAGGCGGAAGAAGGTATGTAAAAGAAGAGAGCTGAAGTATGGCTCTGCAGGTACATAGGCACAGAGCCAGTGCTGTTTGCACTTTTACCAGTGGCACACCATTTTTGCTTATAATCATTTATAGCTGGAGGCAAAACACTGACCAACCATCTTACAGAAAAAAGTGCTCCTACGTGTGGTGCTGCTCTTATTCCATGGCATTATCTGATAGCTTTGTTCTGTCTTCAAAGAAAGATACTTTTTTCTGGAGATAATTGTGCTTGTTTTCCATTCCCTGTGGAAGGTAACCACTGAGTTTGTTTGGTTTTTGTTTTGTTTTGTTTTGTTTTGTTTTGTTTTGTTTTTAATGCAGCTTTATACAATGAAAAGGTTGGAGTGAACGAGCGGAAAAGGAAGCGTAGAACTACCATAAGGTAATAAATATTTAAGTTGTTACATGTTACCCCTTTGGCTAAGATGCTCCTTTTTCTTGGGCTTAAAATCAAAGTGTTATTTTCTGTTAATGAGTCTCTATAGCTAGTGTTTCAAAATGTTTCAGTGAAAAATACTGTATTTCCCAATTAAAGACTTTTTTCAACATACAGAAACATAGTTAAAATGAAAAACCATTTTATTCCAATTCTACCCAAATTATGATATCTGTATAATGAATAAGGTATCAGAGCACCAGTTTTCATTTTGGGAGGTTCTATGTTATACCAAAATAAATTGCATTATTTTGGCAGAGAGCTGAGGTCTGGGAAGTTTGAGGGCAAGCTTTTACATGTAATATTGGAGTTCCCAAATAAGCACTTTAATGAGCCAAAGGGGAAAAAAAAAAAGAGTTGTTTTGGGAACCTTCTTCTCCTGCTTCTCACATCTCTGGTGGCCAATAAATACCATCTATCTAGCCTTAACTCCATATGGAAATCAATAAAGGAAGATGTGATTTCTCTCTGACTTTTCAATAAAATATTCCTCTGATGAATGCTTCTCAATTAGGAGTGAGCTGGGGATGGGAGATGCTTCATAGGTTGTTTGCTCATCACAGCTCCTCACAAGGGATGAAGCTTTACTCTTTGGAGGCCAGCTTCTCCTCTCAGCTTCTTTCCTTGCCTAGTTTATGCGGTATGGCCTCCGTGAGAGCTGTGAGTTGAGAACACGTCTGTCACAGGTGTTTTCCCCTGGTTAGAGGAGTTCACTGAAGACTCCTAACATTGTGAGTTTTGGTGTTGTTTCTTAGCAGCTATTGAGGAAAAAAGTCTTCATAATATGTGCTTTTTAATTATTCCTGCTTTTGCATCTAACTCCACTGCACTGGGACTATTGAATATGGCAGGTTGTCAAGTGCACGCACAGCTGAGGGGCAGTTCAGGACCAAATCCCATGTAGTAAGAAAATATTAATTGTTCCTTTGAAGGCATATAGGATGTTAGTTTGAAGACCTCAGACTAATCACAGAGATTGACTTTATCTGAACTGCAGCATTACTCTTAGCAATTCTCAAAGGATGTTTGAAGGTAAACTAGATGAAAAGCAAAAGTCTCAATAACTAAATTAGGTTAGTCATACACTGAGCAAAAGCTACTTAATTTGGATTTATGGAAGTTGTTTTCTTGTCTACTTTGACCAGAAAGCCTAAGAAACTGTTAGTCAAAACCAATGATGCTTCTATACTTTTGTGTATGCAGAACACCATGCTACTAATTAGGTAGTTTTGGTAATATTACTACATATTGTGAAATAGACCTAGAAATGAAAGACCAACAACATATTACAGATGAAGTAATGAAATAACTAAAACTCCATCAGATACTGTCTATAACAGAAATACCTGCACCACATTTCCAGAAAAATGCATGAAGTGCCCTCTTGTGTTCAAAGAAATTACAGCTACTGCTGAAGCCAGTTTTGGATATGTCCTGGTGGCACACAAGCATGTCGCAGATATTCTTTGTTTTCTGAGTATCTGTGACACGGAGAGGAAGCAAATTCTATTTGGCAGTAAGGAAGTATAGTAATCTTAACTTACTTTGTTTATTGAATCACTCAACTTTGGTCAGTGCTGACTGTGAGGAATAGACTAAGGCAGACTTTTAGAAAATGTGATGATTGTTAAAACAGCTTGCCCTTATCTGTGATTTCTAGAAATACTCTAGTGCTCTCTCTATAACAAAATGGGAAGCAGAACTTGATACAACATACAACAGTTCCCAAATTTTAAGTAATGGAGCTCTTCCCCTTTGTAAACCCAAATGATTTGATACAGCCAGGTAACCACAGTGATATGCATTTTCTGAACTCCCATGACACTGCTATGACTTGGGCAGAATGGGTGGTCAGCCTAGTTCCAGTTCCTGCAATCCCATTCATGCCTAGCTAGTAGCTGTATCTCCTAGAGAACATCAAGAAGAACAAAGCTTTCATGGTTACCACTGAAATTACACTGAAGTTGATGCTGGTTTTGCCTTTGTATTACTCCATGCCAAAATTCTGCATGCTCTGATGCTGTCCATGTCAGCAAAGAGCTACAGTGTACTTTAAGCTCTGTGGGTTTCTTTTACATAGAAAAAGAGGAAACAAAACAAGTGACTACCTCTAGTGCTCTTTCTGGGCCCTTCTTCTGAACTAGTGGTGAAAGCCCGAATGAGTTAAAGTTTTTATAAGTGACATTTTATCCCTTTATCCAGTATCGCTGCCAAAGAAGCCCTAGAGAGGCACTTTGGAGAACAAAGTAAGCCTTCTTCTCAGGAGATTATGAGGATGGCAGAGGGGCTCAATCTTGAGAAAGAAGTTGTGAGAGTTTGGTTTTGCAACAGAAGACAAAGGGAAAAAAGAGTGAAGACGAGTTTACACCAGAACGCCTTCAGTTCTATTATCAAGAACCATCACGAATGCCGGTAAAGCTTTTCCATGATAGATGTGGATTTCTCTTTTGCTTTTTAGAAATACTGTAAATACTGTTGTTTTAAAAAGAAAAGAAAAATCAGTAAACCACTTGATTCTCTTACAAGGTAGCCAGTTTCAGATGTAGTGTTTTGTAGAAGACCTGATTTTAATGTAAAAGGCTGGCAACAAATTAAAAGCTACTGCATTTACATTTTAAGAGTTGTAGGTTTCTGCTTAACTGCAAGGAACATACTATGCATTTTTCAACTAGAAATGCTTTCCAAGTTGCACAAGTTGTTACAGTTTCCCTGTGCTGTGCCTTTCTTGCCTCTGTGCTGCATTTAATGATTAATGGACAACCTCATGTAGACACTCTAAGCATCAGGAAACAAAGCATTCACATTGTATGTGAAGAACGGTTACAAAGCTTGGTATCAGCAGCTATAGTATTGAAAATATTTTTCCTCTGCATGTCCATGCATGTGCTTTATTCCCACTCCACGGTCCCTAGCTAGCTAACTGTGCTAACCTTTCTGAGATTGTAAACCATTAGGCTTACATAGCAGGGTCCCATCTCTAGCGGTGAACACTGAGCATCAACGAGAAATGAGAACTTCAGAGAAGGGGAATAAATGACCTTAAACAAGCAGTTATGGCCAAGGGTGAGACATATCCATGGGATCTTGTGGGATTGCCACTAGATCTGAGAGTCAGATAGAGGAACGCTAGCTGAAGACCTGCTTTTCCAAAGAACAGCTCACACTGAGGTACCCGCTCACAACAGCTGTACTCCTCTGAAACATTTCAGGTAAATTCTTTGTGTAAGTTCAGGACAAAGGCATTAGAAATGTGCAATAATTACTGTCAATATTTACAATCAAAGCTTACCAGTACGGAGGTGTCAACACTGTTCCTACTGTGTGCTCTGTCTCAGTGTACCATTTGACTGACTTTAGTAAGTGCCAAGTAGAAGTGACTTTTTTCATGCTTGTTACCAAAGGTAATTCTTGCTAAATTATTCTATGCCTTGAAGTTTGATCTGGATAGGCTTAGCTATAAAAACTGGGATACAATCTACCTTACCTTAAGATTTTGTGACCAGAGGGGAAAAAAACTAAAGAATTATCAGGGGTTTTCTTACTTTGGGCTTGCTCTGTATCGTATTTTTTTTTCCTGATTAAACCCATGTGTGGACATACATACACAGATAGTGTGTCAAACTTAAAAAAAAGAAGGCCCTTACGCTCTGAAATGAGCATCCATACAAAGCATTTATTGCACTGCACATTCTTACTCTCTTACACCCCACTAATTGAAAATAATCCCTTATTTGTTATCCTCTAGCCTAGAGAGACAATCAAGGGGGGGAAAACAGTGCCTTATCTCCACCTATCAGAAAATCAAGCACCAAGAAACTGAATTAATGACTATAGTACTCACCAGGGACAGATTATCCAACCATCTCATCATCCCTGCTCATTGTTATTAGAATAGCCCATTACCACATATGTGTTTTTGACTGTTTTACCAGGACTGAAATTAAGTGAGTACATAGACATAATAATGGCCAGATACATTTTATTTTTCCATAAAACAGACCTGATGATTTAGAAAATGTCTAGATAATAGGCCCACAGGAAGCAAAAGGAGTTTAATGTTCAACACCACTTAGAAGCAGTGTGTACAAGTTAAGTGTTCTCTCTCTAGTATACATTAAATTATCTCTGATACCTATTACAGTGACCATAGGCATATTCAGCTATGGAAATTAGGCTCCTGGGTTAAAAAGATACATTTTTATGGATGAATGCATTGCTGTAGCCCCTTAATTTAAAGGAAAACTTGAATTTAATAGCTCAGAGGGGAGAAATTGTGCTATGTATCCTCTTCAGGGTTGTCTCATCACTAGCATAGTTCACCCACTACAGCAGAGAAAGACAAAGCCTTACATGATGTGTGTATTGATAGATCATGAATTTTCCAAAGGAATGAAAGATAAATACAGTTGAGAAGATTTTCACTCAGTAAAGGTGGTGGCATGCATTTGTGTACCTTTGATGTTATGTGATCTAATGTTTTTTATGTTGAAACTATCTGATGACTGTATAAATCTTATTTATATTCTAACTTATTTTCTTAATTATGAAAGGTTTCCTAGAAATGCTATAGGCCTCTACTTCTACCTCCCAATAAAGTATTCTTATACATTAGGTATTTTAGGTAATGGTTTGTCATTCTGTTTTGGCAATAATTTACTTTTTCAGTTGCATATTATGTTGATGTCCTTATTCATTTGAGCATGCTGTAACAGTTAACTCAAGAGCAGACTTACTGTAACACTGTGATTTCTAGTCTTGCAAAAACTCTCAGAAGTGAAGGCTAATTTGGAAGCATAGCAAAATAAAACGAAAGGTGACACATAATGCCATTTTCTTGCAAAAGAATGACAAAAGGCTAAGTGAAGGAAGGAGCCAGCATTTAAACACATCTAACTGTTGCCACGGAAATGCAAACAAATTAGAGCAGAATTGTTTAAAGAGAAAAAACTGGATGAAATCAATTAAGTCTGTTCCAGCTGCAGCCATTAGACATACGGGGGGAAAAAAAAATGCCACTTTCTCTAGGAACAACTTACTGGGCAATTGCCTTCGGTCTCTCTTGATTGGGGAAAAACTCCTAGATAATGATAAAGTAGATAAACTCCTAGATGACTTCTGAAGTGTATCTTTATAAACATGCAAGTAAGAATTTAGTTGGCCTCTTGACTAACATGAGCGGCACTATTTTTCTTTGAGATGTTTGTGGGATTTCTTCTTGCTCCTACTTTTCCCATGGTAACTTTAGGTAGGGTGTTATAACTAGGGCAGAGAACAAAACAAGATATTATGACAATGTATAAATCTGTGGTTCACCTGTCCTCCCCTTCATCTGAAGGATACAACAGACGTAGAAAAGACCCCTATGCAGGCAAAGCTGACGATCAAAGGTAAGATGAATAATTGTTTAAGCTACTGTCTCTCTTCTAGATTTAATGTGTGTGCATCAAATGCTTTAGAGGTCTACTGAATTATGAGCTGTATTGAAAGGCTGGATAAAGGCTGGCTGTTCACCATCTTGCCTAATGTAAGAACTAGGAGTAAACACATGAAGTTGGAAAGAAGCTTAAGAGAAAACAGAAGTGTTGAGGAAAACAAAAAAAAAATCTGTAGAACTCCTCTACTAAAAATATTGGTGCCACAAGTATACTCATATGGACAAGTTCACAGATAAGAAAGCCACTCAAAGCAAGGGACTTACATATGGCTCTGGAAGTGCCCTAAATTGAAAACAGTTAGGGAAA